GAGGGGCTGTGGCGAGGCGGGCTGAGGCGAGGCGGAGCCCGCCGGCCCTCGGCCTTCCTTCCCCGGCCCTCCGCTGCCGCCCGCCTCACCGATCGTCTCGATCTAAGCCCTTTCTAGGCTGCTGGCGTCCTGCCCGCCTTTCTGCCAAAACCTGCCTCGCTGGGTACCCGGCGGCGGGCACCTCTTCGTGGACAGGGGGGTGAAGATGTGCTCCGCTCGCCCAAAAGCCAGGCATCGTCAGGCTCCTGTCCGGGAGAGGGACGGAGCTCCGCCGTCCCCCGGGCGCTCATCCTCACCCATACACTCGTAAATGTTGATGTCTAGGGTTCATTTTTGTTGTTGTTCCTCTCGGCGCTCGGGTCACCGAAGAGGTTCTGATGCGCCCGTGCCGCGTCTCATCTTTCGTCCGTAGCAGGACAACTTGTCATTTTGTTTTATGGAGTCTCTTTCAGCAGCTATTAACTTTCCCACAGGGTGTTTGCTAACACTAGGCAGCTCGGGTTATTTTTTTAAAGGCCGCCAGCCCGTTATTTCGCCACTCTCAGTCCTGTACAAGCAGCAAAGGACTCGGTCATGCTGTGTTGGCGTTTACTTACCCTCCCGTCGGCTCCCTCCCGGCAGCGGTGCGAGGTCCAGAAGGGCGTTCTCCTGCCCGCCATCTCTGACGGCTAACCCCGAAGCGTGTCCCGTCCCGTCGCACTTCCCCGGGAGGTACCTGAATAGTTAAAATCCCCCGAGTTCAGCTCTGGGGAAGCCTCTGTAGTTTATTTAATAAAAGCCCCAGCTGTCTCGTCTCTTCTCATTGAGTAGGAACAAACCCTACTGTGCATTTCTGTGATTCCTATGCCGTCTTTTTGGAGAGGCGTTCAGCAAGTCTGCCCCACAGCTCCTACTGAACATCAGTTCATATATCACACACACACACACACACACTATATATATGCGCCTTCATTATCGCAGCCTTTGGATTTATTCCCTCACGACCCCCCGTGGTGCCCACGCAGTCCTTGTGGGCCCAGCAAACTGGACGGAGAGGTTCTTCCTATTTATTCCTTGTACTCCAGACATCATTTCGGACACTCAGGAGCAGCCCCATTGTTCTCTGGTTTACATATCACATCACTCCCTTGAGATTTCCTATTTTTGCACCACATTCATGTCCTTTGATTCAAGCAGTACATTTTTTGTTATTCTCATGTAGCTTTTTTTTCTTTTCCTGCCCTTTTCAAACCCTGGTTAAAGGCCACCTCAGGGGATTAAAGAGATGATATTACAGGTTTCTTTGCTTTCTTCTGCTTTGAGTAGGAAACGATTTTTCTGGTGTTGACCAGAGCTGAATTTGCATGCATTTTTCATCCAAAAATTAATCTTTTTCTTTCAACAACAATTAAAATAAATCTCAAAATCCCCTTTGAAGACCCCGTGAATTAATATTTGGCGTCTGGTTTCTATTCTGTTGTCTTCAATGTTTATTCAACTTTTTCCTCAGATTGTTTGAACTGATACCTCAAGTCCCTCCTTTCCCACCCCTCCACCACTGTAGCTGGATGGAGTTTCCCAAGCTTTTCCACAAAAGGCTTTCCTAGAACAAAAGTTTTTTACAAGTATGTGAACTGTGATTTGTCCTCTGAATAGGACTGATTTAAGATTTGTTTTCTAAACCTGAAGTCCAGTTTAGATGTAAAAGCATGATTGCACACTGTAAGACAAAGTCTGTTTTCCATTAGGGTATGGTTTCCTTATGTTTACTCAAGATGTACATTAAGATACATACCTTGTATCAATTACACTTGCATTTGCAGGATGTGCATACTGAAATTTTTCTGATCCATATCAGTGATATAATGGAAATATTTATGTGAAACTCATGCAGGATATCATACTTTGTATTAAATATTTTTATTACGGAAACAACATTATCAATAGCGTACAGTAATATTTTGCAGGTCTAACATTCAGTCATTTCAAAAACTATTTTCAGCTTTGAATTTTCTTAATACTACTAAGGGATGTGGAGAAGAGTTAAAACACTAGGTATGTAGGAGGAGGATAATGACAGAAGTGCCCAAATCAAGATGACCAACAGCCTGGGTAGCCCTCACGTACATTATAGCCTGGGGGGCTTTAGAGGAGAGTGTGAGATATCCTGACAAACTAGTGTGCAAGGAAGAAGTCTTCGATAAGCACCAGTCTCCAACAAAGTGCTCTTCCTGAGCCACATTTCCCCACCTCAGCCTGCAAAGTGATCTAACAGTATTTTCTCACGGCAAAGTGGTCCCAGCACAGCACTGCTTTCAGGAGTACTGCCAGGACTCGCGCTACTTTCGTGTTTCCCCCCCAGCTAGGCACAACCACTAGTGCAGTCAGGCTCTCTTTGAACCCCCTCTTGTCAGGAGGTGAGTCTGATTTCCTGCAGGTTACTCCAACCAGGACACTCTCCTGCTCTTCACTAGGCAGCATGGCCCTTGTTCTTCAACCATAAGAAAGCAAGCTCAACTCAACCTGCTACCTACAAGTCCCTTCAGTCTCTGAAGCTGTCATCAGAGAGGTGGATATTCTCAAAACCAACCTTTTCACATCAAAGGGCTATTGACTTCCTTACCAGAGAGTTACAATTCTTACAGGAGAGAAAGCAATACCCCAAGTTCACCAAACACGGATGCTCCTTTTTGCAAGTTTTAGTATGCTTTCTCTAAGGCATGACACCATACGCAGAAGCAGCAGACTGCCTCATTGCTCTCCCCTCAGCTGTTCCTGACTCCCGGCAGTCTCTGGCAAACAGGGACCCCATCTTTTTCTAGCCTGTAAGTCCATTCTTTTTAATCCTACTGGTACTTGGGATAAACTGCATTTTGACTGAAGAAAGCTAAGCAAGGTATATTACCTTATAACTAGCTCCCTGATGCTTTTTGTAAGGTTATGTGTGTTACCTTTCCTGCTTGGATCTTTTGACAGCCTGTTCTAGCAAATAACACACCTTAAACAAAAAATACATGCCATCTTAGTGGGAAATATTTCAGATAATTTCCACTTTGTTGCAACACTTATTTTCAGCAACTTCATTTAGAGTTCCTCATCCCTTCAACTTCTTAGAAGCAGTTAGAATTAAATGATAATACAACCACCACCAACAACCATGCCTTTGCTACTGAGAACTTAAATGAAAATACCTAAAGCAGTGGCTATGCTTCGCATCTATCCCGCAACACCCATGGCCTTTCAATAACCTCAGGAAGAGAGAGTTAACCAGCCAATATTCCTGCTGACAAGAGACATGCATCTATGTGCCTGGGCAGTGTCGGGCTGCATCGGTGCTCACAAGCAGTGAGGTACAGTATGAGTAAATTCATGGAGAAACAGCTGGAGCTGAGGACCCACCATCCACACCATACATATTTTAGGGGATATTTTCTAGAGTGCCTCTAGCCCGCTCCCGGGGACTGGCGGCCACTCTTCACATCTTCCAGTTTAGCTGCTACTGAAAAAAATCCAGCATGCGCACGCCCTAAGACTGCCTTGTAGCACAAGCCAAAGCGGGATGACTGGGAGTTTCCCTTCAAAAGCACATTCCTGTTTCATGGTTCAGGCTCCTGGATCCTATCATAATTTCACTACCAATAATAATAATGCAAAGATCATGAGTCAGGCTGTCAAACTGCTCATGCCTCCCTCTGCAGGCTAATTCCTTCAGACCTGAAGGTGCTTGCTAACCGGAGGCGTTCGGCAGCCGAAGCGATGCCAGCTTGTGCTTTTGGTCTTCAAAGGCTGATCCTCACTGAAGACCCTGGTGTCTGTCTGCATGTGAGGTCCTTGGTATGATGGATGGAGCAGAAAACAGCAGTTGCTTAGGTTCCCTAAGAAAACACAGCAGAGGAATGAATGTCAAGGAATTGTTAGTAAAATGCATGAGTAGCTGCTTCAGCATGGAAGAGTGCAGGAGGAAAAGTAGGTTCAAAAAGAATAAACGGGAAGTCTTCTCCTCACATGACTCCAGGCTCCTCATAGACATATTTCTACCATTCTAAATGGCTGTGTGAAATGGCCACTAAACAGCAGGAAAATCGACATTTTGGTAATTACTCAGAGAAAGAAAAACTCATGGAAAGATAAGTGGAGAGTGGAAAAGAGATATGGATGTCTTTTGGGGTGGGGGAAATCGCCTGATCCCACTCAGTCTGAAATTGGTAGCAGTGCT